ATTGGCCCCATTGTCAGTGACCATGAACCCATGGGTGAGCCACCTCTGCACCAAGCAGTTCATGGCCCCCATGATCTCTGTTACTGTGTGGGACTCATTCATCACCTTGGCTTGAAAGAGAGCTCACTGATGGCCTGACTAGTCGCACCAGTACCTTGTGAGGGAGAGGTAGGCATGGTCTCTCACCACTCTGGCTGCTCCAGATGTCGGAGGTGAAGTGCTAGGCTACCTGTGGCCCTGCCTTGCACAGCTCCTCCCTCAAGTACTCCCTGCATGCCTCATACAGGGACGGCACTACTGTCTTGCTAAAGGTGGTGTGTGCGGGCACTTGGTAAGATGGGGCCACATGTGCCATGATCCCGCTGAACCCTGGTCACTCAACTAAGGAGAAGGGCTGGCCATCAACAGTAAGCATCTCCCCAATGCTCTGGGTGATCTCGCTCGCTCTTGCAACACGCCTTGCTTTCTATCTGCCTTTCCTCCACTGTTCCAGGGTGGACTGCCTCTCCTTTGGGGGAATGGGGGCTTTGGAGTGAAAGGGGGAATTCCCTTTGGGCATGCTCCCACTGGTGCCAGGCTGAGAAGGAGCAAGGGCAAGGGGTTGGTGCCTGCGGAGATGCATCAGCATCCCTGTGGTGCTCATGTGTTCTGTTCCCTTGTCCCGGCTGGTTTTGGCTTGGCAGTGCAGGCAGATAGCATATGTGGGATCATCTGCCAGCTCAGAATGATCCCAGACCACACTACCCACTCACTTCTGGGGTGCGGGTGCATGTGTGGATGCTGCAATTTCCCCCTCCTCAGCAGGCAGAGGCACAGCAACAGGAGGACTGGACTTAGATGAGCCACTTGCCTCCACAACGTTTACCTTAGCCTCCTCTGAAATGCCTTCTGGGGAGGGAGACCTGGCTCTAGGGGAAACTTGAGGGGTGTGGAGCAAAAACTCAGCTGATTCCCTCTCCTTCCCTAGAATTTCCCTTGCTAGGGCACTCAGATCCAGCTCCTGCTCTTCCTCTGGCACTGGAAGGCTCAGCATAGGAAGTGAAATGGGGGTGAAGGAGACTGTCATGCTGGTGCTGCTGCTTGTTGTCATGGTGGTGGTGGGGGTTCTGGCTGGTGCCCTTGGAGGGGATGCAGTCTCTGGCACAGGCAGTGGCATTGGCACCACTTCCCTCTCCTTGCTGCTTCTGGAAGCCTCATCCTTGCTAGTTGTAGGAAAAAGGCTGTGTCTCAGTTTGGGGGGCTGGGGGGGCAGGAATTTACACCTCTCCCTCTAATCCCTCTTCTGCCCCTCCCTGAAGGCTTGCCAGCTACCTTTCCACCATGCTTCATGGTGTGTTTTAAAGTGTCTTGGTTTTATACAAATATATAAATGTATCTGGATTCCTATATATATTCTATAGTCTATGCTGCAAGGTATAATCCTATCTGCATTCCTATATAAATTCTATAAGATCTGTAGTCTGTGCTGCAAGGTATAAATGTATAGAAATAAAATATAAATGTATCTCCCTTCCTATATAAATTAAATTCTATAGTGTAATATCCAATATAATTATAAAATTGGAAATAATAAATCAGTGAATATAATTATAATATAAAAGGGTCTAGAAAAAAGCAAAAGATATTGTGGAATCCCACTTGTTCGTCTAGGCTAGCAAGTAGGAAATCATTCAAATCAATGGTAGTAGTAGCCTGCTCTGTCTAATGCTCCTGAGCTGCTGGAAGACACAGCTCAGTAACTGTCAGACCCCAAGGCAGAAAGCAGGCTAGTTCAAACAATGCTGCCTTTTTATGCTGCTTTTCCATCCCTTCCCCAGAGCATTGGGATTGGAAGGGACTTCAGGGAAGGATAATAGTCACTGGCCAACTACACAGTCAATATGAGAACAGTCTTTCCCTTCCCTCTTACTACTTCCTGTTTCCCTGCAGGCAAACCCAGCTTGAGCTTCGAAACTCAAAATGTTTCGAAAGCCCTTGTTTCATTTTGAGGCTGTTTCAAAGCCCTTCATTTCATTTCAATTTCATTGTTTCGAGCTCGAAACAAGTTGAAACAGTGTCAAAATGATCTCCACCCCCAGCTCAGCCCTGTGGAAGAGAGGGTGGGCTGCTCTAGCACCCCCCACCCCAGCTTCTAGCCTGAGCCACTGCAGGCATGTGCTGGCAATTCCTCAGTCCAGAGGTGATGTCTGTGGGGTTACAAACTGGTTCAGCCCAGCCAGGTTAGACTAACCTGCAAAGATTGAATTAATTCTGGTTCAGGCTTTTTGAATGTCTGTCCCTAGCCATATTGATATGTACAATGGAGCATGTTACTTACATTACACACTTGGTATCATGGTTTTCTGAGGCAAGAAGTGGTGGGTGAAATCCTGGCCCTATTGCCTTTAGTGGGCTTGCATACACTGCAATGACAGTGAGCCTCAGCACTAGGGGATCCAGCATGCCTGGGCCATCCCCTGCCAACATGCACACACACAGGCACATTCTGAACCCAGAAGTTTTCCACAGAGGCTAATTTGAGCTCACCCCAGTGCTTGCTCTCCAACCACTGTGCTCTGGAGTGGCTGAGAGTGGCCTGTGGGAAAGAGCCCAGATCAGCCTCACTAGCTATCTTCTGGGTGTGGGTAAGCAGGGAAAGGGCAGAGGGTGCTTGAATGCCCTCCATGCTGAGACTTGCCACTTGTCTGGTGCAGAAAAACCCAGTAGAACTTTGATTTCAGCCAGTGTATGAATTGAAAGCAAATATATGAATTAGAGCCAATAAAAAAAACCTTAAAAGATGACAATAGGGAATTCAGCGTGCTTAATGAAAAGAACAAAATGCCATCAAATTCTCTTTAATATGCAGCAAACCCATGTACTAAAGGGGAGAAGAGCCTAACTGAATGACAAGGGTTGTGCTCTTTGCAGACACCCAGCAAACACAGATGATGGTCATGGTGTTACCCTTGTGTAATTAATTTTAAAAAGTAATAATGGACTTCAAGTAGCAAGGCTATATTTCAAAGGACTATCCTCACTTTATGCAACATAGGCATTTATCCTTTGGAGTTGTATTTCCAACAGTTGATGCACACATACCACACACCACCACAATATATATTGAATACGTTATACATATATGCACACAGGCCTGTCCTATGTTAAAGGATTATTACTAAGGTTCCAAAATTGAGAACTCAGAATCTGGGAAATGCCAAAATGAAGATATTTACTTCCTTGCAGTCTGACACAATCTTGCTAATTCAGCCTAGTTTATACTTATCTGGTCCTATAAAATATTCTGAGGTTTAGCAAAGTCCACAGTAGCTAAGTGTTCAGCATATCAAGTTGGAAAGCAAGAAAATGAGGAATGTAAAGTGAGTGACTACCTGTGAAAAGCCTGGTATAAATGATTTGCCCTGCAACAGATACAAAGATTTGAGAATTTCATTTTGTAACCTTTATATTGCTCATCTATCTTACAGTAGAATTTATTTAAATAAAAAGCAAAGTAAAACAACAAAAGTTCCAACCTATGGCATCATACTGGCTCCAACATAGTTCACTTGAAGGATTGGAGCCCTTAGCACCACATACAAGCTTCTGTTGTTTGAGCCAGTGGTTTAAATAGTAGGCTGTCATCCCTTGTGTGAACCAGTGCCAAAGGGGAGATGGGACAATACAATAGTGAGTTTTACAGGTATTTGCTGACCACAAACCATTAGGCCCATTCCATGAATGGAAGGGAACACTGCTCTTATGCGCCAGACTGGTCTGCCCCTTTGCCCCTTCTGCCCTGTCTGCTCCATCATTCCTATCCCAGGCCCCTCTCTTCTCCATTTCTGGCTCATCCTCTTAGTCCCATTCTCCTCATATCACCGGTCTTTACTCTGCAGACTTCTCAATCCACTTCCAATATCTTAGCCCAAAGACACTGAGTGTCAACCCTGCAGCCCTTCCATCCCAACACTGGTCTTCCTGCACTCATGGTCTCCTTGCACAATCAGTACTAGTTCTGCCCTCCAATGATCTGTTTCTGTCTCCCATCTGAGTGCTATTCACCTACTGAATCCTATCAGCTCCTGCTCTCAGATTCCTTCTTGGACTCCTTATCCTATCTTAGTCTCTCCACTCCTGTTTCTTAGTCCAGCCAGTCATAGTTTGTCGTCATACTTCATGAGATCCTTCTTATTGCTTCAGAGCTTTTCAGTCCCATTTTCCTTAGCCAATCAGTCTGGTCTCCTCCCACACTGACTCTTGTTCAGTTTCCCATTCTCCTCTAGCTGCCTCTAGTCCTAGGCCCCTCCATATCTGCCCTCACAAGTCTCTTATAATGCCTCCCCCTCTGTAGTTCCTATCTCCATGGTGCCTGGGTGATAATGAAGGGAGAAGTGTTTAGCGCAAAAGGGGAGGATGAGCTCTCCGTTCTCAGTTTAGGCACTCAGTTCTGGTCCACAGCTGCAATTTCTTGGAAAGTCTTGCTCAGTCCTGAGCTGGAGCATGCTCAGAGCACACAGAATCTCTGGGGCATTTCAATGTAGTTATTACTAAGCTGTCTCTAGATCTTGTGTATGAAAAGCGGTTTTTCAAAGGCCAAAATTGAATTAATTTTCTTGGGGATGCCAATAGGCTCATTCCTGATACAAAGGCCATCTCTTCTTTTAAGTCCTTGCTCTGAGGCATGAAAGTGCAAGAGTTTTTCAAACAAAAAGGACAATAGATTTTTTTAACATGAGCTATGGTTATCTACTTTTACTAGTCTCAGTGTAAAAAAATAGCTCACTTGTTTGTCAGAAAATTTCCAGAACAATTTGTCCTGAAGCAGACATGTAAAAATTGAAGCCCAGATGGTGAAAGTTTGGCAGAGCTGTAAGCAACAGAAAATGGGGTCTTTTAATTGGAAGACTTGGAAAATCTTACTAATACACAGGGCTGATAGCTCTGCCTATAAAACCAAATAGATGTAGACTTCACACACAGGAGTTCCTTATTTAGAAACAAGATAAATAGGCACTCACGTTCAACTTTTTTCTCCAGCATTGCCAAGTGATTAGCTACTTCAGTTTTCAGTTCATTGATTTTAAATACCCTGGAAAAGAAAATCTCAGCTATGAACATAATCTTTATATCTAAATCTGTATAAACAAGAAACTTGCATACATTTCAAAATGCAACTTGTAGTATGTTTACTATAAAGAATAGCAAAAATGTCTACCAACATGTAAACCTTTAGAGGGAGATTTGGGCACATTCAAAGGTTATGGACATCTTAGGAAAAATCAAAGGGAATGCTTTTGTTTTTGCTTGGAGAATCTAGATTCTAGAATATAAAAACACTTCAATACCCCCTCTCTCCACAGTGAGTTGTCCTCATGTTGCTTAGGGAAGCAAACCTCAGTTGATAATGCTTAATTTAATAGCAGTGTGTTTGTGAGTGTGTGTGTGTGCGCTGAAGTGCTCTTGTCTTTGAATCATTTTGGTGGCTTGCAGAGATGCAGTGGGATTGATCCCTCTTACTGAAATCAAGGTAAATAAAACAAGCATCCTTAAAAAGGTTCAGAATTTTGTTTGGGGAGAAGAGAAAAAAAGTGCATGGGTTAAAACAAAATAAAGAAAAGTATTGAGCAAATGCTGAACTTATAAAGCTCAGTGAAAAAAGACTTAATTTGCTTTCCTGAAGGGAATAAAAAGCACAATTAAACATTTACCCTTTTTTTTTGGAGCTAATATAGGCCAAACTCAATTTTGGCTTAAGCCATTGTATCTCTCCATAGCAGTCACTGGGGCTAGGGACAGAAATTACACATAAACAGGTATAAGTGATCAGAAGCCAGTTCAAATCTGTAGCACAACATAAGTTCAGTGCAATAAACAAATTTCAAAATGGATGAAATCAGTTTAAGATAAACCTGCATGGATGTAGTAACAGACTTAACTGATTTAGGTTAATTCGGTTTATTGAACTTCTGTCCAAAATCTCCTCTGGATTCAAGTTAACTCACAGCCCCCCTGCATCCCAGGATGCTTTGCACTTCCCCCCTAAACTCCCACCCTCCCAGCAGGGTGGGCAGGCTAGACTTGGTCCAAGCTGTCTGCTCCAGCTGAGCCCTCATCTTCTGGCCTGGGCCACTGCAGGCCTGTGGCTACATTTCTGAAACCAAAAGAGAATGTCTGTTCACTTGCTTCTTGGTTCAGTCTAATCAGCTTAGACTAACTTGTGAAGAATGAATCGATTCAGCCTCAGGCTTTTTGACTGTCTGGATATAGCCTGGGAGTTGTGTGCATGCCATGGCTAACTGTAGCAGTACAACTGGGATTTTCATAAGGGTGATGAGGTGGGAGAAGGAGTGGGGCATGAAGTATTAGACTCCCTTGAAACATCAGTGGAAGTTGGTTAAATTGATTGTCGTACTCCCTATGGCACCTTTGAAGATCTCCATCTCTGTCAGTTAAAGAATTACCATTTTGAATGAGGAATGAAATTGTAAAATGCTTACCTTGAGAACTGTTCAGCAATCTGTGTCAATAAACTCTGGAACAATTCCTCTTTCTCTGAAAAACAGAATAATAAACGCATAGAAACTGATACAGAAGGAAAAGGCAATGAAATACAAAAAAACTGCTTCATGTTATATCTTCAGGGTGTTGCAAAGAAGCAGTTAGCAAAGCAATCATTCCACCTTGAATGGAACAATCAGTTGGGAATGTAGATAACACTGTGATGGGGCCTTTCCCTTTCCACCATTGCAGCTAGATCCTTTATTACACTATTGTCTAGTGTCCTCTGCAAGATTTTCAAACGTAATTACTAATTTGGGGTAACCAACTTGAGAGATCTAAAAGGAACCTATGGTAATTTTCAGAAAGTGCTCTGCCTCTTGCACTTTGAAAATCTACCCCTTTTCAGCTCAATCTAGACACCCCAAACTACTCACCATTTTGAAAACCTTGGCTCTCTCTTTTCTCTCTGGCTCATAAAGGTTCTATTTATACCAAAAAAGACACTGCTGTAGAGAACTCAGTAACTAAAGGCTAATGCCTTGATATGGCTACAACACAGCTTGTTCTTGCAAGGGTAGAAAAGCCCAGACTGTTTAAATTGCACTATGGAATCATGCTGCAGCCTCATTTTTGGCAGTGACTATAAAAAGGAAAGTCCAGTAATTTCTCAAATGCTATAAGTGAATGTGACACTGCAGTTTGACAGCTCTGCAGAATGAAGTCCTCAGTGTATTCACAGGATGGGGAGCTATGGGCACTCAGAGCTCAAACTTCCCAAACACCTTCCCTGGAAACACAGACCTAATTTGGAGGGACCATCTCTACAACTGGGTTTACAGGAAGCAGTTCAAATTGAAAAAGCCCTTGGTTGCCAGCACTGGCATGGTTGCCCCAGTGTTGTCAACTCTGGGAATCCTAGAATAATGGTGCCTCCAGCTTCCAACTTCAGCACTGTGCCAATTAAACCAGCTCAGAGAGCCTGCTTGAATGAAACCCAGTTGAATGAAACCCTCTGCTGAAAGCAGAATTTGCAAGGTGAGGTAATTTCTCCCTTTGCTGAGACTGTCAGCAAGATCTCACATTTAATTTTAAAAAAGCAGGCACCTTCTTAAAACAAACAAGACCCCAGATTTTAAAGAAATAGGTCATTTTAGGAAGTGAAATAGCAAAATGAGCCCATATAGTAGCAGTAGCCTCTGTTTCTCACATAGGTCTACACTGAAAGTCACAGATGTAGAAGCAGGATAATTTGCCTGAGTTCCTTGCTGTCATGGTTAGACAGATATTTGTGCCCAAGTTGCTACTTTATGGCTAGCACAGGTATATCCAGCTGCTGCAGTCACTGCTGCGACCACAGCGCAGATATACTCGCACTCCCTTCTGCAAACATACGGTAAACACTTTCTTGTTTTAAATACATTTCCACACAACATGTTCATGCCCTAAACATAGACAGCATAGAGGCATTTCTCACAGCTATTTATTTCATGCACTTGTGTGACAGATCCAAATGTCTCACAAATGCAACAAACAATACAAAATACATTTTGGAGGAAAAAAAACAGTTATATACACATTTAAATGAACATATAAGAAACAGGCAGCATCTAATACATTTTAAAAAACTGACTCTTGTTTCCTATGAAAAGATTCACTACCACTAAACTCCTCGGTAATAGTAGTTGGGGACATTTGCTTTAATTTTCAAAATGGTTAGACCTGTTATACTGGGACAAGTCTACAGGGCTCTGAAAGTCTAGGAACTGATTCACTCTCTCTCTATTTTATGTTATTTGACTCCCAGGTTGCCTGACTAGAAGAACAAAGAAGAGATCAGTTTAATCGGAGACCAGTTTTCAGTCATCTCAGAAAGGTTTTTAAACTGCTGCTAGAAGAGCAAAAAGCTGAAACAAAACACACAGCTTTGAAAATATCAGGAAAGCTTTGTCTCTGCTTACCGTACACAGTGCCTGGAGCGTTATATGATCCAACAGTAAGAATAAACACAAAAACCTGAGCACCCTGAATTCACTGTCTCTCAGATCTCAGTCAGTGGCTGTAGCATATGTGAGAGTGACAAGTTCCCTATGAGCACTGATCCAGTAGAACAATGTCCTACTTTCACTCCCCCCCCCCTTGTCAAAACTCACTTAGAGTACTAGGACATTCTAATCCAGGGAACAGTCAACTGCAATCTGATGTTTATAGACGTAATAAAAGACTTTTAAAAGGAAGATGTATGTTTTTATAACCCTAGGGTGCAGTAAAGATATATGACTAACAATGGCAGTTCCTCTCATCTTAAAGAGACAAAAGTCTATTTCTTTACATTATTTTAAACATGCAAACTTTGACTGTTTATTGCAAAATCAAACATTTTGAAGATACTATTTATGCTACCTCTGCTCTGGTTCCCTATTTGTAAAACTTCTCCCATCCTTTATCTCATGTCTCTTTACATTTTAGGTGGGGTAGGTAGGGAAAAAAGACTCATCTCTTATGGGCCAGCCTGAGCTACCCCTATCACAGCTAGTATTCTCTTATGCCAAAAGTAATCTCATCAGACCTGGACATGGAATAAGGTTGTACTCAATGCAAGTAAGGGCATCCTAACCTGACTCCATATGTGCGTACTATACACAGAAGAACAGTATTCACATCCTGGTTGGGGTTAATAGTTCCTACCGCAACACACACATCAATAGCAACCTTCATCTTCCGTCTAAAAATCTCAAAAGGTGACATGCAGGGAAGATCTGAAGGGCATGTAGTTTGGCAAAATCAAAACTAGTAGAAAGTAGTTCAATTTTGCCCTCAACAACACTCAGCGAGTAAAAAAAGGCAAGAAGAGATCCCCTTCAAACGACAGGGCACTAACAAGATGTTGGAAATGTTACAGGCAAAATTCAAGTCATCCTGTGGCAATCCATTGCTTAGTTTATACTTGTGCATGTGGGGGTCACAGCAAGGCTTCCTGTCTGATAGTTGTGGGACTATAGCCCCCAAATGAGTGCTTGGTATTTTGTAGAGATCCATAGTGTGTACATGAGATCTGCAACGGGGAGGTGGAGGGGAGTGTTTTGTTCTCTTTCTCCCTCTCTTTAAAGGCCTAAGTCCAGGAATCCTCAGGCTTGGCCAGAAAGCAAGTGTATATGAATGCAGAAAAAGCACTTCTATTGTACACTGTGCTGTGGCACAGCCTCACAGATTGGCACTGGCCACAGATTTTTGCTGCCAGAACCAAGAGCAATTAGCGGGGCACAGGTACATGCTGCTCCTGGTTAGGGTACATAGGTGGCAGCCCAGGTGGCTCCTACCTCATCATTGTTAAACTGCCCAAATGGTTCCCTTCCTCCCCCAAGCTTCACCCCTTGCTCTGCTCATGGGACAATATGTTACTTGGCCCCTGTCTGTGGAGCGCCTTTCTTCTCCCTCAGCGCTGTGCCAGTTAGTTATTGTGGCCAATGTGAAGGGACAGTTGAAACCATTTCCCACCCCTCACACCTGACTTGCTCACTGTGGGCCAGTGGCCTTGACCTTCCTGGAAACAGCTGGAGTTGCCAACTGAACAGAACTAAGCACAGAAGTTGGCAGGGTGGGGACTCCCTGCAACTTTCTTCCCTATGTCACCAAGCAAGTCCTGCAAAAATCTTGCCCTTGCAGCCACTTTCACCACAGCTCTCTGAGGTTGACCCTCTGCTCAGCTCCCAGCTGGGCTTCAACCCTAAGTATCGTGTTTGGTTTAGAATGACTAAAAGACTTCAAAAATAAAAGTTCAGATCAGTAGCGTAACTAGGGCAGGGCAAGCAGGGCAGCAGCCCCAGGCACTATGAGGCTACCCCAGATTCTTCCTCTCCTGTGCTGCCACTGCCTGGTCATAGGAGCAATCCTGAACCCAGTATTGCACCTGGGCTGACCCCACTCCCAACCTCCTACTGCCCTGAGCACTGAATGAACCTACTACACCTTTGACTCAGATGGCCAAAACCTTAGAAACCAGCTCCAAAAAATGTCTTGATGCTAAATCCATTTCAGCTAATCATCCAAGAGTGCTCCACCAGTTAATTTGGACAGTAGTTTGCCAGCTTACACCCAGAGGAGTCATCCTTTTGTCAGTCAGCTGCTCTCAGATATATACTGGAATCCTGAGATCAGAGTTCATCCCAGTGCAATTCTGGCATGGGCACATTATGGCTAGGGACAGACATTCAAAAAGCCTGAGCCTGAATTGATTCAATCTTTGCAGGTTAATCTAACCTGGCGAAGCCAAACTGGTTTGTAACTGGATAGACATTCTCTCTGGACTGAGGAAATTCAGGCATATGCCTGCAGTGGCTCAGGCTAGAAGCTGCTCAAGTAGGGGAGTGTTGCTGGACCCCAGCCCCCTGCTAGCACTCTGAGGCAAGGTGGGGTGGGTAGTGCATGGTTCTGTTGATGATATGGAGCTTTTCCATCTCCCTCCCTGCTTCTTTATACTGGCTGCAGCAAACTGACAGGCACGCAAGCCAGCAGGGTCCTGATAACAGTGTTTATCACCTCATCAGTAAAACAATAGCCTCTCTCTATTAGTTAAACCTCTTCTTAAATAGCTTACCAGCTGACCTGTTGATTAGCTCCAAAATGCCCTAAGCAGTCACTGTTCTGTCTGCCTGGCCCAGTGAACTTGGAGATACACAAAGACGTCTCTCAGCATTAGTTAGCATACCACATGCCTCGGGTCCATGGGTCTGGGGTCTGTGCTGTGGGAGATGGGAAGGAGGGAGAGGGGGATTCCTGTTTGAGCAGTGACGGGGGGATAGGGCAGAGGGAAGATACCTATAGTCTGCCGGAGCTCCAGCCAGAGAGCAGAGGGGACGGGCCAGCTCTGCTCTGAAGCAGAGAGCCCTGCCTAGCCCATAGAGCATGCTGGGATGCTGGGGGAGTCTGATTTAACTTAAATGAGCAAGGGGCCTGGGACAGACATGGCATAAACCAGTTTGACCCAAATCAGTTAAGTCTGATAATACATTCAACCAGATTTATCTCAAACCAGTTTCACACATTTTGAACCTGGTTTCTGTGCACTGAACATCTGTTCTGTTACAGGTTTGAACCAGTTTCTGATCACTTAAACTGGTTTATGTGTAATGTCTGTCCCTAGCCTATGTAGGAAGCAGCTCTATAGGATATGGGGAGGCTTTGTCCTTAAGGCACTGCTGGTCAGAACAGCATGTCACACACTCTTGCATAAGTTTTAAGAGCTAACTTGCCTCATAAATAAAAGCAGATAGGTCATAATATATGTAGATTTAGGCAGTGTGACAAGTTTCTGTCATTTTGCAAATAACGAATAGGCGCAAGATTGATAGTGTATATATTTAACCATTCCAAAAAAAAATCTCTGTGGCTCTCACTTGAGGTCCCATATATCATCAATGAACTCATCAATCCAGGAAATAGGGCTATTAATGATTCTCACACAGGTCTCCTGCCAGGAAGCTACAGAAATTCATGTTGATTTAGCTTTTCCAATTCCAGCTGGTATCTCTGGGAGGAAATCTTGGTTTTGCTTCCATGCAGGCACTGGATAACTTGCTAATTTAAAAGACTCGTTTAAATGGTAAGGGAAGTTGGAGGCACAGATGCATTTTTCATATTTTGTCTTGGCCAAAATAGAATGTATTGGTTCTCTAGAGGCCCTTTAGAAAGGAGTGATCAATGTCATGATCTCCTGAAGCAGTGGTCTAGATCAGGGGTTCTCAACCTTTTTCTTCCTGAAGCCCCCATAGCATGTTATAAAAACTCCATGACCCATTGGCCTGGCTCCCCAGCCCCTCCTGCACATCCCCGGGTGCAGTGGGCAGGGCTTGGTGGGGCCCACTCTCCTGAGCAGCAGCAGCACAGAGCCGCACCCACCCACCTGCAGCGTGGCCCACAAGATTGCTGAGCTCCTGCCCCTTCCTCAGGACTCACCTCTGCCCTGAAGGGATGAGGCAGCTGCTCCCTGCTCTGGGCTTGGCCTGGTGGACCCTTAAAACCTGCTCATGGCCCCCCAGTTGAAAACTGCTGGTCTAAATCACAATCAGAAGGACAGAGAAGCTACTGGCCTCTGCATATCAGTATGCATTTCCACCTCAGTCCTCAGATTACCATTGTTGTGATTTTCTGCTTGAATGAGCTAGTGGTAGTGCCATAAAAAAAGTGTACGGTGAAGTCGGGGTTGGCGGGGTGAGGGTGCACTGGTTTACTTGCACTCCCCTCCTCTTTGATTCCTGCCTGGCAGTGGCAGCAACATTTCTAGTCAGACAGTGCTGAGGGAGTCAATTGACTTCATGGCCCATATAATCTACATGATCCCTTCTAAACTCTTCATGCCACAGGTGTTAATGACTCTCTCTTCTTTGTAATGGCCCTGATGTTCCCCATCAAGCTATCCTTTGTTCTTCAATTCTGCTGTCTGTTAGCTGTTCCTGGTAATGAAGCTCCTATGTCACAGCCTTGCAGATTATTCTTAATTCATTCCAATGAAGTTATATTTGTTTTTGCTTCAGTACAGCCCTACGCCCCTGGCATACTAGTAAAGTTTCTAGTTTAACTGGAGAAAAATGTGTTGTTTCATATGGGATGATGCATCTCACCATCTGCACCCCCCTTTTCAAAATTCTGGACCTGCCACTGGGTGAATTCACTGCCTCCAAGCAACGGCAATCAGTGGCTTAACTCAATAAGTCTCTAGTTGTTCATTAGTGGATGAGCTCTTTAAAGGCTGGCTTACCATTCCATGGGTCTTCTATTTAGCTTTGTTAAAGTGTAGTAGTATCCAAAAGAGTTACCCTTCTTCATGAACCAAAGCATATATGAACTGACTGAGTTCTACAGAACCTTTTTTCCCTCATAGAACATGATACTAATGCCATCAAACTGGCAACTAGAGCATTGCAAAATGCTTTAACTTTACTACAGCCCTTAATTTGTACCGCCTAACCCTGGTCTAACCTGAGGAAATAGATCAGTAGCTTTGAATGGAAGATATCTAATCAATCCACCTGTAAAATAACAGCTGCTGTTGGAGTCAATGAATGTTATTCAGTCATGCTATTGGAAAGAAATCTTTTATAGTGCTAGTCTATCCCAGGTGATGATCAGGAAATAATGAACCATCTCTCACCAGTACTCTTATGTGCCACTCTGACTGTGGAGAAGTTGCTACAGTGACAAAGGGTTATATTTTCCAATCTCACTTTTTGTACTCTTTCCATGAAGTGCACCTCACTATTTTCGAGCTATATAAGAGATCATTGGAAAAGAGGAATACTAGCTCCACTCCTTCCAGAAAATGCTGCAACCCTTTCTGGCATGTATTTGGTCTAATAGCTACTTGCCCTGAAAGCAGAAGATGGATGCACACTCCTAATGCAGTTGGTCTGGTTTGAAAAGAGAAGACAAGAATTGAAAGTCTTAACAAAGAGGGAGAAAGAAAGAGGTGAGAAAACAATTCTTTCTGCTGTCTGAAAAATGTCAGGAATATTTAAAATTAATGCCAGTCAATGTAAGACAAACAGACATGAAAGAAGCATTAAGTTCCTTGAATATCATCCAATTCTACTCTTTCCATATCAGAAATGGTCTGCCTGCTTTGGCATCGAAACCCGCAGAAATTTTTCTCCCCTTTATCTGGGAAGTCTTTGGGTATCCTTTACTTTGCAAAATACAGCAAGAACACAGAAAAAAATGTTTAAATAACAAATTGTACTCTGCATAAGGCATTTCCTGTCACTGTCAGCTAGTGTAAGAATTAGGACCATGGGAAAATGTCAGAAGTCAAAAATACCCTAGGGGCTTGTCTACACCACAGCAGCAGTGGGTCCTGGCATTGATGGGACTCAAGCCAAGCAAATGCCCTGCAGACCACTGGTGCTACACAATGCGGAAGCCATTAGCCTAAGCACAGCACTCAGAAACAGAGAGAAAGCATGGCATAAACAGGGCAGAAGGGAAATGCCTTTCTGTTCCCTTTGTGGATGGAACAACAACCTATTTGCTTTGGAGACTGAGCTCTGGAAGATCATATGGTATATACTAGGTGTGTTAAAAGGTACTGTCAGTCTTGAAATAAAACCTTGAAATTATTGTGTGTGCAGTGATTATTTGCTCAGCAATATCACTTCCCTACATAGTTCTGAGCAATGGGTGCATTCGACAATGCTGCCATCAGTGGTCTCCAGTTCTGTGGAGTTTCCCACACATTGCACACACAATTGTTTTGTTTTGAAATTGCTTCCTGAAAGCCCTTGTATGTGGATTGTTGTCTTCCATCCAGAGTGCCTTTGGTCCTGTTAGATGTAGCTAAAGCTAGACTATGTGCAATAGGTAACTGCTTCATGGAACAACCCCATTTTCTGAGCCTTTCCAAAGCACTGAGGGTCCAGATGTTGGGTGCAATTTTCAAAGATGGCCAGCATTGACCTGAACTGTTCCCACTGAACATGATGAAACTTTTCTCTTCACGTCAGTAGGGGCAGAGTCAGGTAGATGCTGAGCACTTTTGAAAATCCCCTGATCTGTGTCCACAGGTATTTCTCCATCCAGAGTGCTGGCTGCCTGCAAATATCTTATAATCGTGAATCAAACATTTTGTCGAAGTTCTACATATAGGGTCTTTGTTTTTTTCGCTATAGCATAGCTTTAACCATATACATTTATTGGGGAGAGGGAGTTTTACACTGCAGCTAGACTTACATGTGATATATTTTTTCAATTACAGTTTTTAAAAAGAATCCAAAACTGGTAACTGAGTCACAAAGGTGTTTTAATAAACGTTAGGTTAAAATAAAGGTGTTTTACCTGATAGATGCCCAGTGGTCACAGGTATCACTTTGTATGGATTACTGTAAAACATAAAAAAGGGTTGGCTATGACAACACTGATAAAGCTATTTGTTGTGCAGGACTGATATAAATACCATGAAGAGAAGGAGTAAGTATTTGAATAAATACTTAAGTCTGTGTGTGTGTGAAAATGTATCCATGGAAAAAAAAGAAGATGTCTTCTAGGAAGTGCACTTTACTATTGAACTGGCCTCCTTAGAGGTCTCAGATGTGCTGTTTTAGGGTGCTGAAATGCACAAGAGGCATATTGCCAGCACAGCAGAAATACCTCCCCTTTGGGAAGAATCATGTTAGCTTGGGAACAGAAAGGTTCAGGAACTTGTTACTGGAAAGGTGGAAGTTCTTTGGGGCCCAGCTTGTATTTGTGTAGCATTCAGCACAGTGGTTTCTAGACTGTCTCCTAGGTGGTACTTCAGTAATAATAATAAAGAAGAATAGCAAAGCTGAACATGCAGTCAGAAGCCAGAGACCAAAAGAGATTTAGAGAACGGTGTAGAGCTGTATGCAAATGAGTCCATGCCTCATAAAAGTCTTGGGTTCCTGTTTGCAAATAATGGCATGCCTAGGTTCTAATAAAGCAATAAAGAAGCCAGTGAACAAAGAGAGCTGGGAGCTTGAGAGCAAACAGAGTGGGTTGGGAACAGATGTCCTACATTAAATACTTACATGCAGTATTAATTTCCTTGAATAACTAGTCCTAATTTAATGATGAGTAAAAGTCAAAACCAAAGAAGCATTAGTGTTCTAATCCTGTGTACAATTGTTGCTGACATCTACCTCCCAGAAGGGAATCTTTAATGCTCAGAAACATAAGAAGCGCACTTGTGGCCAAGAAAAAGCTTTTTCCTTGGCTTTCACTCCATCCTATGGTATTGGGCACTTAAAAAACCTACCTCTCTGAGTTTGCTGGCATTGTTGGATCAATGGACACCATGCAGTTATCCGATGTCAAAAGTGAGATTGTTGTGTTCCTGAAAGACACGTTTCCAAGAGATTTATTTAACTAGAACAGGATGGTCTTGATTGTGCCTGTGATCTTATGTTGCCGTTAGCTTCCTTGCTAAGTGGACATAATCTCCTCCATTTTGACTGGCTGCCATGTCACATCCATTTTGCATTATTGACTATGTAAGGAGCAAGGCAATGGAAGTTTGGATGTCTTGTGGCTATGTTCTGTCCATATCCCAACCACAGGAGTTTTCTGTGACTAAAAATGAAGTATGGACATGTCTATCCTCTGAAGTAACTTTGCTCCCTTTGAAATCATATAGGCTGTGCTCCGTTTAATTATCTGCCATTAACTTCTATTGAAGAGCTATCGAGATTGATTTACTAGACAGATATAAACTGACTGAGCTGGAAATCAATATCAATATTTACCTTAAGACAATACATATACAATCCAACATCCCTTATGTCCCTTAGGTCCATGCTACATGAGGGATTAACACTGGTGTTCTTTTAATATGGGGAATTTAGAAATTACTAAACAAGCTCCTTTACAAAAACAAATAAAAATATCCCTTGCTGAAAGCATTGCAGTATTTTCTGAAACTCATTTTCTAGTTTTGACATCATGGATTCATGTAAAAAAATGAGTTTTCCAGGAGCTGGTTTAAAATTAGTGAAGCCTCAATAGTCTTTTGCAAGCCCTTATTTAAAAATGAAACACAACACAGAACATTTCATTGAGCATCCTGTTATTGTTCATGAATGACTTATATGGTTAAATAAGGTTTTCTGGGTGATGGAGAGGAAGTGTTTGACATTACAGGCAAATCACAGTTATTAACCTCTCTAATGTCAAATGAGAGGGATATTGCCAGGGTAAACAACAAACCATATTGATTTGTCACTGTGACAGGATTCCATCCAGAGTTTTATGTTAAAAAACTATAGCCAATACAGTCAATACCATCCCCCTCCCTCCACCAAACACCATACAAGTTAATTGCACAGAATAACCCTGTGATTCTATGATTTGTTCCAGCACTCTCCCACTTCCTCCCTTCTCCACCCCACCACCTCCTGGCCCCCAGTTTTGGTACATTGTGTGGACACAAACTTAGGAAATAAGACCCATCATACTCCTCTCTGCATACCTCCTTTAGAAAAGGGTCTGTGCTGCCCAGAGGCCAGTAGGAGCCGAGTGCCATTCCATATGCAAAAGGCCTACTCAAGGCAAAGGTTTAGGTTGAAACTGACTCTCTGTGTGGCAATTGAGGTATACAAATCCCATGACAAGTAAAACAAAACAAAGCAAAACAAAACAAAAAAATTCCAGGAGTACTAAACACATAAAATTTTTAGGCCTCTGCAGAAGTAATAGAAATAAGGGAAAGCATTGCCCTGGACATGGGCAATTGTGATATTTTGGTTCCTTAAGTATCAATGGGCATACTGTGTTTGGATATCTGGACTTTGGCCTAGATTCACATGTCTATTCACTCCAAATGTAAAACTGACTGGAGTTGTCTGTAATTTCTTGACATACACTTCTATTCTATTCTATTCTATTCTATTCTAATACATCCAGCACTGAGGTATCTGACACCTTCCAGCAGTGCATTAAGCACTTTTCTAATTTATGCACAAGGTATGAATTACTGCATTTCCCCAATTTCTCCTCCTTGAATAACTGGAACAAGAGATGCAGCTGGGGCACTAGATTAAGATCTTGCTTCTTCTCTTTGAGTCCATTTCTCAATTGTTCTGAAGACGGAACAATACAGTGAAATGCATGTTACATTTGATATAGACTATGAGGTGACACCTACCTTGGTAACCCAGTGGCAATGCAGAAGAGGTCCATAATATCTTTGGAACTGCAATACTTACTGAAGACCACCTTCCATCCAACCAGAAGAAGGGAAGAAAGGAAAACAAAGGAGAGAAGGTACAATTAGTTCCCAGGGAGATATTGACTTCCTTCCTGTGTACGCTGGGCTATCTTGAAGAAGCATTCTTTCATTGCAAATATCTGATTTGCCCTGAGTGTTGGAATTCTTTCCTCCCTCCCTTCCCCTCCTCCTAACTCATTTATTTTTTCAAGAAGGAAGCAGAGGAAGAAAGGGATTTTTGGCATTCTACCCACATTATCCACAGCTATAGCATATTATATCTGGAATGACAGCAAAAGACATCCTAGTGTACACTTAGGTTAGCTGCTGACCATGATCATAAGTTCTAGAGAGAACTGTCTATGACTTCTGAAGGAGGCCTGTATAATAGATTAGGTCCTTGGTAGGTATGAATGGGTGTTAAAGTCAACATTCATAGAATCATAGAGAAGTAGGGCCAGAAGGGATCTCCAGAGGTCAATCTAGTCCAGCGTCCTGCCTGAAGCAGGATCATGTCTATCCCATACAATCCTTCATCTAACTTCTACATAAGACTGTCAACCCTGAAACACCCTAACCTGCCACAGGTAAAGCAGGGGAACCATGGTAGCCAAGGTCCTCCTCTGAGGAAGGCTTAAAAACACCCTGGCACATATAGCAGGAAGGTAGATGTAACCAGAAAAACCCAGAAGCATGGGAAATACCTACAGTAGAACACAGGCATAGTTGTGCCTAGATCATCCCCAGCCAATGACTCTCCAACCTATTGTTGAACACGTCTTGTTATGGAGAGTCCATGACTTCCCTAGGTAGGCTACTCCACTGCCTCACTATTGTAACAATGAAGAAGTTTTTCTGGATATCCAATCTAAACTTACTTTGCTTCAACTTCAAGCCATTGGTCTGCATCCTCCTCTCTGCAGGAAGAGAGAAAAGGTGCTTTTCTTCTTCTTTATGGAAGTTCTTCAAGTATTTGAAGAAAGCTATCTCGCCCCCTCTTAAACAGCTTTTCCACATGTCTAGGTCCTTCAGGATCCCCTCATATGACTTGTTTTCCAAGCCCTTTATCATCTTTGTTGCCTACCTCTGGACCCTCTCTAACGTCTTCACATCTGTTTTAAAATGCAGAGCCCAGAACTGCACACAGCACTCCAGATGAGGTATAACTGGTGTCAAGTAGAGAGGCACTATTATCTCCTGTGTCTTGCTCCTAATGCTTCTATTGATAAACTCCAAAACTGCATTCGCCTTTTGGCTGCATCACACTACAGACTCATACTAGACACATCTACACAAGATGCTACATCGCCATAGCAACTGTGTGACTGCTGTAGTGACTGCCATAGTGACTGCTGAGCATGAACCATGATGCCAAAGCTACCATGCAGTAGCACAGTAGGGTTGGAAATGACTTGAGCACTGCCAAGACTGCGCAGTAATGGCAGTTAATGTACAGTCACTCAGTACTTGTTTTAGCAATGTAGTGTCAATGGGCATGAACTGTGATGTTGATGCTACTGCACAATAGGAATGAGCTACTGCACAATAACTCGTTGCTACTGCACAGTAGGGTCAGAAATGACCTGTGTCCCTGCAGGACTGCACAGTAACAAGTACTAAATGACTTACTAAAGAGAGTACTAAATGACTGCACAGTAACTGCCATTACTGCACAGTCCCAGCAGCACACAGGTCGTTTCTGACCCTACTGCGCAGTAGCATCAGGGTCATGGTTTGTGCCCGCCAACACTATGTCACTGTAGTGATGAGTCATGGCATGGTAGTTGGTTGCTACAGCAACATAACATCTCATGTAGATGCGCCCTCTGAGTCTGTAACGTACCAAGACTCCAGACAGAGTCCTTTTTCTTAGTGCTGCCATCCAGCCAGGTATCACCCATTTTATATTTGTGTTTTTGATTATTCCTCCTGAGGTGTAGCACCTTTCATTTACCTACACTGAACTTTATCCTGTTAGCTCTAGCACAACTTTCAAATCTGTTGAGATCCTTCTGAATTGCTCTTGTATCCTCCAATGCGTTCATAATCCTTCCCTGTTTCATGCCATTTGCAAACTTGCTCAAGAAGCTTTCCGTGTCAGCATCCAAATCATTAATAAACATGTTGAACAGCATTAGGCCCAGGACAGACCCCTGTGGGACTCCACTCAAAGCCTCCTGCCATTCTGACATGGACCCATTAACTATTACCCTTTGTTTATGGTTATTGAGTCAGTTATCTAGCTACACTGTAGTAGTTTTACCTAGCCTGTGTTTCTTCAATTTTAGTAGTTTTACCTAGCTCGCATTTCTTCAATTTGTTTGTGAGAGAGTCATGCCCAGACCTTGTCAAAAGCCTTGCTGAAGTCCAGGTCCACAATATCCACAGAATTCCATTCTTCCACCCAAGTAGTTACTTTTTCGAAGAAGGAGATCAAGTTTGCCTGATATGATTTGTTTTCGTAAGTCCATGATGGCTGCTTTTGATCAGCCTTTCCTCCTCCAGATGCTTACAAATGATCTTCCTTAGGATATGCTCCAGTAACTTTCTGGGTATTGAGGTGAGGCTAACTCATCTGGAGCTCCCTGGATCCTCCTTTTTCCCTTTTTTAAAGAGGGGCACTACTATGGCTCCTTTTCCAGTCCCCTGGTACCTGGCGTAATTTCCCACAACTTCATGAAGCCAAGGGCTCCGAGATTTCCTCTGCCAGTTCCTTCAGGACCCTGGGATGAAGTTCATCTGGCTCTGCTGAATTAAATTAATTTAGACCCCATGAAATCTCTCTGACTCTCTCTTTTTTTATCTCCTCCCACAGCTTGCCCCCTTTCTTATCCAGATAATCCTTATTAGGTGCCTGACTGCAGCTAAATTTTTTTTGTGAAGACTAAGGCAAAGTATCTGTTGAGTAGATCCTCTTCTTTTGCATCTTCAGTTAGGAATTCCCTCTGGCTTGTTAAAAGAGGACTGTAAAGGTATCTAGAGATAGTGCTGCTCTACCACTACCTTCACCTGGCCTGCCTATGCTTCTGTTACCTGCCTATCATGACTTCAAAGTTACTGGATGGTGGGAAGTGGAAGGAAGTAGGTGTCTGCTATAGACCACCAGACAAGGAGGAAGTGGTGGACGAGACTTTCTTCAAACACCTATCAGAAGTTTCCTGATCACAAGCCCTGGTTCTCATGGGGAACTTCAATTACCCTGACATCTGTTGGGAGGGCAATGCAGCAATGCACAGGCAATCCAGAAAGTTTTTGGAAAGTGTTGGGGACAACTTCCTGGTGCAAGTGTTGGAGCTGCCAACTAGGGGCCATGTTTTTGTTGACCTGCTGCTCACGAACAGGGATGAATTGGTCAGGAATGTAGTAGTGGATGGTAACTTGGGCAGCAGTGACCACAAGATGACTGAGTTCAGGATCCTGAGGAAACAAAGGATGGAGAACAGGAGAGTATGAACCCTAGATTTCAGAAAAGCAGGCTTCAGCTTGCTCAGAAAACTCATGGTCCAGATTCCCTGGGAGGCCAGACTGACAGGGAGGAGTCCAGGAGAACTGGCTGTACTTTAAAGAAGCCTGATTGAGAGTGCAGGAACAAAGCATCCCGATGTGCAGGAAGACTAGCAAGTATGGCAGAAGACCAGATCGGCTTAACAGGGAACTCTTCAGTAAACTGAATCACAAAAAGGAAGCTTATAAGAAGTCAAAACTTGGACAAATAACTAGGGAGTAGTATAACAGCACTGCTCAGACATGCAGGGATGAAGTCAGGAAGGCCAAAGCACAAATGGAGTTACACCTAGCAAGGGATGTGAAGGGTAACAAGAAGGGTTTCTACAAGTATATCAATAGCAAGAGGAGGATCAGGGAAAGTATGAGTCCTGTACTGAATGGGGGAGACAGCCTTGTGACAGAGGATGCAGAAGAGGCTGAAGTGCTCAATGCTTTTTTCACCTCAGTCTTCATGGGCAAGGTCAGCTCCCAGACTACTGCACTGAGCAGCACAGTTTGGGGATGAGATGAGCAACCAAGAGGGGCAAAAGAACAGGTTAGGGAATATTTAGAAAAGCTGGATGTGTACAGGTCCATGGGGCTGGATGGGATGCACCCACGAGTGCTAAGAATGTTGGCTGATGAGATTTCAGAGCCACTGGCCATCATCTTTGAAAACTCATGGTGATCAGGTGAGGTCCCAGATGATTGGAAAAGGACAAACATAGTGCCCATTTTTAAGAAATGGAAAAGAAAGAGGAGGATCCAGGGAATTACAGACCAATCAGCCTCACCACAGCCCCTGGAAAAATCATGGAGCAGATCCTCAAGGAATCCATTTCTAAGCACTTGGAGGAGAAGGTGATTAGGAACATCAGCATGGATTCACCAAGGGCAAGTCATGCCTGACCAACCTGATTGCCTTCTATGATGAGGTGTCTGGCTCTGTGGACACAGGGAGACCAGTGGGTGTGGTATACCTTGATTTTAACAAGGCTTTTGATATGGTCTCCTACAACATTCTTTCAGGCAAGCTAAGGAAATACAGGCTGGATGAATTGACTGTAAAGTGGACAGAAAACTGGCTGGACATCAGGCTTGGAGGGTAGTAATCAGTGGCTCGATGTCTAGTTGGCAGCTGGTAGGAAGTGGAGTGCCACAGGAGTGGGTCCCAGGGCCTGTTTTGTTCAATGTCTTTATCAATGATCTGGAAGATGGCATAGAATGCACCCTCAGCAAGTTTAGAAATGACACCAAGCCAAGGGGAGTAGTGGATAAACTGGAGGGTCAGGCTAGGCTTTAGAGTGACCTAGACAAATTGGAGGATAGGACCACAAAAAATCTCTTGAGGTTCAGCAAGGACAAGTGCAAAAACCTGCACTTAGGATGGAACAATCTCATGCACCAGTGCGGGCTGGGGACTGACTGGCTGGGCAGCAGCTCTGCAGAAAAGGACTTGGGGGTTACAGTGGACAGGAAGCTGAATATAAGCCAACAGTGTGCTTTGTTGATAAGAAGGCTA